GTCCCCTAGGGAGATGGAGGAACTTAATCATTCCGTTTTGACTGGGCTGAGGCACGAGGGGGGGGGGAGACTGTGTACTTGTGCAGCGTACAGGGGAGGAAAGAGAATGATTGGGATGAGTGACCTCCCGTGGTGACACACACTGACAATGAACCGCCCATACACAGTATCTCAGGGTCTGATGAGGAAGCTGTTCACTGAGAACGGCTGCGGCTTCCTCATCAGACCCTGAGATACGGTCCGAGCATTTACCTCATGTCGGAAGGCGAAGCTGTCCCGCTCACGGTCCCCTCTGCTCACCGGCCGCCTCACCCTCTGCCTGGGGGGCCGCCCCCCTGAAAAATGCCGCCCGAGGCAAACGCCTTGTTTGCCTCGTGCTAGATACGCCCCTGGTGGTCCCTCCGAAATCCATACCAGAACCTTATCCGAGATAGGAGTCTGGTATGGATTTAAAGGGAGACCTCACAGCACCCTGGTGGAAAAAGGCTACTCTAACCAACAATGTTTAACTGGGTTTGCAAAGCCATTTGGTGAACTCAAAATGGATTTATATCCTTTGTGGACATTGAGAAACAAATTTAAATAAAACAAATTTTTGCCAGAGGATCAGCTTCAACTGTCACAAACAACAGCTGTGATAAGGCCCCAAAAACAAAGCAAGTGGGCTTGCTGTATTTTTGTTACCAACTTTTCACAGGTCATCTGATTAGCTTTCTCAATTCAGAATGATTTCTCAATTCATTCTGAATTGAGAAAGCTAGTCAGATGACCAGCGAAACATCTTCAAGAAAAATACAGCAAGTCCAGTTGCTTTGATTTATTTTTTACAGATATACTTGAGAATTTAAGTTCTGAAAACACAAGACTTTACAGCAAACTGAGAGCCTAGAACATTAAAAGGACCTGCTAGTTTAATAAAATGCAAAATATGTGTATGCAATGTTTTACAATTTTCAGACTAAAAAAAGAAAAAACATTTAAATATTTAGGTTCTGGACCTAATAAGGAAAGAAAAATATATATTCAAACTTATTAACACTCATACTATGTTAATAAAATAATTGTGCAAAGAATATTGATATAAACTGACCAAATTTGCATGAGTGTGGCTGTTATTTTCCACTGCTGAGTTGTTCAGTTATTCACCCTCCTTTAAGAAGCAGTAGTAAGGCTCTTATTTATTCTGAAGAGCATTAAGAAAAATAAAATCCACGAAAAATTGCAGGATGTTATTATACTTGATGTGACTTGACTGGCAATGCTTCTCTGTGTGACTCCACTAATGTACAGATGGAAGTCTGCATTTTATTCAGTAATTCAGTACATTTATTGCTCAACACCTTTTACTTCAAACCAAAAAAAGCAAGATTTAATGGCAGAGTTAAAGGGGATGTATGTGTATATATATATATATA